ATAGGACAATTTGCCAATTTCATCCAGAATCAATTTCTAGTTGCATATAATGTATCCAAAGGCAGTGTGCTATGCTCTCTTCCTCTTCCTATTTCTCCTCAAGCTCAAAAATGTCTTTGGACATTTTTCTTTTTTGAGAGAGAGAGAGAGTACATAAATGGGGGAGAGGGACAGAAGGGGGGAGAGAGAGAGAAAGAGAGATAGAGACAGAGAGAGAGGGAGGGAGAGAGAGTCTTAAGTAGGCTCCACATTCAGCACAGAGTCCAACACGGGGCTCAATCCCATGACCCTGGGATCATGACCTGACCTGAAATCAAGAATCAGATGCTCAATCGACTGGCCACCCAGGCGCCCCTTGAACATTTTAAAGTAAAGAGCAGCCTGACCAGAACTGGAATGTATTACATGAAAAGCAAAGTTTTTCCAGAAATTACAATAAACTTTAAACTTGTTAACTTCAACAGTGACATCTGAATAAACTCACAACATGTAGAGGCACTTAAGTTTCCTAATGAGTCTGTCACAGGCTTTTTTCATTTCTGTTACAGTGCTTTTGTAGCATGTCTTTCTTCATTCTTTCTTAAACTTTCCATCTCTCTGCTTACGTTACTCATCTGTTCTTATAGGTTTTCTGCTTTTACCATCAGAGCCTTTAGCAAGTTAATCATAGTTAGGCTTGTGAGTCTGATAATCCCAATATCCTTGCCAGTTCTGAGTTTAATACTGACGCTTGCTCCGTTTCTTCACACTGTGTTTTCTGCCTTATAGTATGCCTTGTGGTTTTTTACTGAAAGGCCTTTGGTGAGGTGGTGGTGAGGACAGGAGGGGAAGCTTTCTGTAGCCCTGAGATTAGTCTTGACCTCTCACTGAGTCTGTACCCCTGGACAATGACCTCATGACATGCTTCTCGGTCCCCACCTCACCCTTCTTAGGTGAGACAGAAAGGCGAGATGGTGCCTACCTTCCTCCAGGTAGGTCACGCTTTGGTAAAACACCAGTCAGTTAGGCTTTGGTGACAGTTTCACTTGAGGGCAGGCAGAAGAGAATGCTCTAGCACAGTTCAAACTGGTGAGGTTTCCCCTCCCCCTGGCAGAAGCACACAGGGATTTTTCTCCCATCTTCACTGGAGAGCCTGGCAGTCTCCTGGAGATAATACACACAAGTGTGGGAGCTCCTCTAAGACCAGGGTCCCCTGGAACTCTTAACTCTCAGACTCTTCCACACTTAGCCTTCAGCAATTACAGTTTAGGTTTTCCAACTCTGCCATTAGTTCCCACAGAGGTTTCTGCTCTAAGTAGTAATTCTCTGTATTCACTTGTCTCTCCAATTTGGGAGGCAGTGGTTTATCCTGTGACCTCGATTCTCTGATGGATCTAAGAAGAGCTGTTGACATCTAGTTGGTTCAGCTTTGCTCTTGTGTAGACAGGACTCCAAGCTCTTTACATGCCAGACCAAGAAAAGAGGAAATTAAAATGCCCCTAATTCTAGATGGTTACTTGAATGTGTCTGTGATTTGAAACATCTATTCCTGTTATTTATTTTAAATATGACAAAATGAAAAGAGAAAATATTAAACAAATATATCCAAGAAGTTAGCAGCAAGTCATGAGAAGTTAGTCTCTATCAGACCAACACCTCTATTAATGCAATCAAACAACTCCAATGAGCCTGGAAACTTTTCCTGGCTATTTGAAACTGGTGGTAAGAAAGCCTTTAACTCTATCAAGTTGGGGTGGGATGGAAGAAGGATCCTACTAATTGTCTGCTTTTATTAAGAGTAAATTACTACTGAGATTAAGAGCTGACTCCCTTAGATAGATAAGGAAGCTATTAAGAATGAGGGCAGCTTCCAAAATTATCCAAATTAAACATATGCACGTGCACACACACACAAACATACACACTCACATCACATCACATCACATCACATCACATCACATCACAGAAGGGGAGAAACAAAAGGCTAACAAATACAAGGGATGCTCAAATTTACTATTAATAAGAGAAATGCAACTAAATCCCATTGGGGGAAAATTTCAAGTGATGGTAAGAATGATTCTCATATATGTTTTTCATAAACCTGTTTGCACTGCTGATATAAGATAAACAGGTATAGCCATTCCAGAAAGCAATATGGCAGTATTTACACCATGTACATATGCTATAGCCAGGCAATCCAACCCTGAATATACGCCCACAAAGACATTCTGACACAATGGCGCATCGCTTGTGGTGGCTGGGATGTGGAGGCGTTCTGGATGCCCACCACTGGGGAAATGAATCAGCAAAATGTGATGGATACACACTTGGAATATTCTGCAGCTGCAAGAAGCAAACCAGCTGTACACAGAACATGGGTAGACGTTAGAGACCTCACGTGGGGTAAAATATGAAACCAAATGAGAACCATAATATAAAACACAAAAGAAGATGACACATTTTTTTAAATTTTTTTTAATGTTTTATTTATTTTTGAGAGAGACAGAGACAGAATGTGAACAGGGGAGGAGCAGAGAAAGGGAGACACAGAATCTGAAGCAGGCTCCAGGCTCCGAGTTGTCAGCCCAGAGCCCAACGTGGGGCTCAAACTCACAAGCCATGAGATTGTGACCTGAGCCGAAGTCGGACGCCTAACCAACTGAGCTACCCAGGTGCGCCACAAGATGACACATTTTATACGTACTTTTAAGAATGGACACACTATGGCACAAAAACAGACACATAGACCAATGGAATAGAATAGAAACCCCAGAACTAGACCCACAAACGTATGGCCAACTCATCTTTGACAAAGCAGGAAAGAACATCCAGTGGAAAAAAGACAGTCTCTTTAACAAATGGTGCTGGGAGAACTGGACAGCAACATGCAGAAGGTTGAAACTAGACCACTTTCTCACACCATTCACAAAAATAAACTCAAAATGGATAAAGGACCTGAATGTGAGACAGGAAACCATCAAAACCCTAGAGGAGAAAGCAGGAAAAGACCTCTCTGACCTCAGCCGTAGCAATCTCTTACTCAACACATCCCCAAAGGCAAGGGAATTAAAAGCAAAAGTGAATTACTGGGACCTTATGAAGATAAAAAGCTTCTGCACAGCAAAGGAAACAACCAACAAAACGAAAAGGCAACCAACGGAATGGGAAAAGATATTTGCAAATGACATATCGGACAAAGGGCTAGTATCCAAAATCTATAAAGAGCTCACCAAACTCCACACCCGAAAAGCAAATAACCCAGTGAAGAAATGGGCAGAAAACATGAATAGACACTTCTCTAAAGAAGACATCCGGATGGCCAACAGGCGAATGAAAAGATGTTCAGCGTCGCTCCTTATCAGGGAAATACAAATCAAAACCACACTCAGATATCACCTCACGCCAGTCAGAGTGGCCAAAATGAACAAATCAGGAGACTCTAGATGCTGGCGAGGATGTGGAGAAACGGGAACCCTCTTGCACTGTTGGTGGGAATGCAAATTGGTGCAGCCACTCTGGAAAGCAGTGTGGAGGTTCCTCAGAAAATTAAAAATAGACCTACCCTATGACCCAGCAATAGCACTGCTAGGAATTTATCCAAGGGACACAGGAGTACTGATGCATAGGGGCACTTGTACCCCAATGTTCATAGCAGCACTCTCAACAATAGCCAAATTATGGAAAGAGCCTAAATGTCCATCAACTGATGAATGGATAAAGAAATTGTGGTTTATATACACTATGGAATACTACGTGGCAATGAGAAAAAATGAAATACGGCCTTTTGTAGCAACGTGGATGGAACTGGAGAGTGTGATGCTAAGTGAAATAAGCCATACAGAGAAAGACAGATACCATATGGTTTCACTCTTATGTGGATCCTGAGAAACTTAACAGGAACCCATGGGGGAGGGGAAGAAAAAAAAAAAAAAAAAGAGGTTAGAGTGGGAGAGAGCCAAAGCATAAGAGACTGTTGAGAACTGAGAGCAAACTGAGGGTTGATGGGGGGTGGGAGGGAGGAGAGGGTGGGTGATGGGTATTGAGGAGGGCACCTTTTGGGATGAGCACTGGGTGTTGTATGGAAACCAATTTGACAATAAATTTCATATATAAAAAAAATAATAATTAAAAAATAAATAAATAAATAAATAAATAAATAAATAAATAAATAAATAAAGAATGGACACACTAGGGGCGCCTGGATGGCTCAGTTGGTTAGGCGTTTGACTTCGGCTCAGGTCACGATCTCATGGCTTGTGAGTTCGAGCCCCACGTTGGGCTCTGGGCTGACAGCTCGGAGTCTGGAGCCTGCTTCAAATTCTGTGTCTCCCTCTCTCTCTCTGTCCCTCCCTGGCTCATGCTCTATCCGCTCACCCCCTCTCAAAAATAAATAAACACTAAAAATTAAATAAATTAAAAAAAGAACGGACACATTAAACAAAGCACATATGTGGAATAGGAAAGTTGAAAAGGGTCAAAAGGTGTTAAGGATCAAAGGTGGAAAATGAACAAAAAACAAGAGAGTGAGGCCTTACCTGGGGGAGAACAAAAAACACATGCACACCCTCTCTAGAAGATGTTCCATTTCACCCAACTTTTCAGCTTCTCCAGGACGTGCCACCTAACAGCAGATAGGGACCTTAGCCTAATTCTTTGTCTCTTACCTCTTCATTTTTCCCACATGCCCCACATCTACCTGCTGGGTTCTCAACCAAGTAATCATTTGCTTCCTGTGACTTGGTTCATCACAGAGAGATTCGGTTTCTTAAAAATTCAGAATTTTAGGGGCGCCTGGGTGGCACAGTCGGTTAAGTGTCCGACTTCAGCCAGGTCACGATCTCGCGGTCCGTGAGTTCGAGCCCCGCGTCGGGCTCTGGGCTGATGGCTCAGAGCCTGGAGCCTATTTCCGATTCTGTGTCTCCCTCTCTCTCTCTGCCCCTCCCCTGTTCATGCTCTGTCTCTCTCTGTCCCAAAAATAAATAAACGTTGAAAAAAAAAATTAAAAAAAAAAAATTCAGAATTTTAGTAATCAGTAACGCCTACTTCCACATTTCACAAATTCAGACTTGTTTTGTGATTTCAAAAGTGACACTTAAATACATTCAGAGCATTTAGGGGCACTTAAGGAAACTGTATAACCTGTGACACTCAATGCTCACTTGGATGTATCTGTAATTTGGAAGTATGTGTTCCTGTTATTATATGGATGAGAAAATGATAAGAGAAAGTCTTGCTTATACAAATAAATCCAGTAATTTAGCAGCAGGCCACAAATGAGAAGCTAGGATCGCTGACTCTCAGACGAGGCCCCCTGTGAACAGGGTAAAGCCCAGGATGATAAAGAAAGGCCTGAGAGCTAGTTCCACAGTTAGGAACAGACCACAGGTCTCCAAAATCCTAGGTCAGTGAGCTTCTTTCTTTCCACAAGGTGCATATTTGCGATCAGGTGTTTCCCAAAATGGTCCCTTTCTGGTGAACCCAGTGTCTTTACTGTAAGTAACGATACACAGCCCTGTGATGCCTGCTGTTAATTTTCAAGCGGGGAGCACCAAAAACTCACCTATCAGTGATGGAAAAAGATACAGTCAAGGGTACAAGAAATCAGGGACTTTTGGAAAAGTAGTTGGTAGTTCCATACTTGCATATTTATCACATGAAATACAAAAAGGCAGAAGAATATTTACCTTTAAATATTTTTCTGCAACTGAATAAAGGCTTCAGTGTGGAAAGTCCAATACGATATGGCCATAGTTCCCTGAATTAAAACCCCTACCTTCTTTATTTATTAATCACATGTTGCCATCGCTGTGGTACTAGAAAATTAAATTAGTTCTCACTGACAAACTACCTAAAGGAAAAAAAGAAAAAAATTGCAAAGGCCCCCCAAAATGTAACATAGTCCCAGAAGAGTGAGTTAAAATGTTCATTTTAGTTTCCCCGAGGTCTAAATTTTCTCAGGCACCTTCTGTGATCTTTTATTTAGAGGGAAAAATATTCAGCTACCGCCTATACTTTCTCCTTCAGGCATTTAGCCCCCAAAGAAAGAGGAAACAGGGAAATATTTCTAAAGAAAGCCCAAAATTCAAGAAATGAAGAAACAGATTAAAATGGAAGTGATTTTTGCAAGAGGTTGAAAATGGTGTCATTTAGAGTAACCCTGGATATACAGATTCCTTGTGACTAACTGTAATCTTTCATAAAGCATTGGAATTTGTATTGATGGAAAAAGCTTCCAACTATAAGAAAACAAGAGCAACAGCAATAAACAACACTGATCTCTTTTCTCAAAGAAGCACTATTCATGGACAAAGGAATTGAAGTGGAAAAATAACTTCAGATTTCAATCTACTCTGTAGAGTGATTCACACAAACATACACAGGAAACGGGCTTAAATGATAATCACCTGAACAAAGTACAATAAACCTTGCGTAATGGCACATCTCCCTGGTCGAAGGGACTTCATGCACTTAGCAATAACCTAAAGAGGTCACCGAGAGGGGCATCTCATCTAACACAAGTCCACTTAACCACTTCTGCCAAAAGAGATTCTAAAAATGCTGAAAGGTCTCCAGATAAGACTCCAAAGTCACACCCAGGAACACATTTCAAAGCTCAACAGCCCACACTAGCAGGAAATGAGTCCAGGTAGGTAACTTAAATCACCCATCCTAGGGATTTAACTTGTTTCTTCTCTTTTTGATTTCCGAGGGTAACTGCTGATCCAGCTTCAGCGACAAGCTCTTGCCTTACTGGAAATGCATTATCAAATTGCTCTCAGGATGAGCTGCTGTTCTGCTTGACCTTTGCTTCTGGTTCTCCCTTTACAACACTCCAGACTCACCGGTGGCTCCCCAGGAAACCCTCTGCATCATGAAAATAAGTCACGTGCAGAGAAGAGCAAAGAGGCACCTTCATATTAATTGCAATGCACCTAGAAGTACATCATGGGGTCTCTGAGATATGCAGGAGTGGTGGAGGAAACCGAGAGCAATTCTCAAAAGGGTATAAGAAGACCCAACGATTCCTTTCTAAGTATTTATCCTAAAGATATTCCCTAACATCAACATTTATTTACTAATAGTACAAACATCTATTTGCAAGGGTGTTCACTGCAGCCCTACTTATAATAGGGAAAAACTAGAAGCAACCTAAAAGTCCAATATTAATGGCATAATTGTTTAAAATTATGAGCACATTGAGTGGAATATTATTCATCCGTGAAAAGTAATCCTGTTACATGAGTACTAACCCAAATATTTTTATGATGCAGTATATTATATTAAGAAAGTAGGCTGGGTGCCTGGATGGCTCGGAAGGTTGAGTGTCCGACTTCAGCTCAGGTCATGATCTCACGGCTCGTGAGTTTGAGCCCCGCATCAGGCTGTGTGCTAACAGCTGGAAGCCTGGAGCCTGATTCGGATTCTGTATCTCCCTTTCTCTCTGCCTGTCCCCTGCTCACTCTCTCGCTCTCTCTCTTTCTCTCTCAAAATAAATAAACAATGAGGGGCACCTGGGTGGCTCGGTCGGTTAAGCATCCGACTTTGGCTCAGGTAATGATCTCATGGTTCAGGAGTTCGAGCCCCACATCGGGCTCTGTGCTGACAGCTCGCGGAGTCTGGAGCCTGCTTCAGAATCTGTGACTCCCCCTTTCTCTCTGTCCCCTCCCCAGCTCATGCTCTGTGTCTGTCTCTCAAAAAATAAATACACGTTAAAAAAAATTTTTTTAATAAAAAAATAAACATTGAAAACAAAAGTAGATTGTGGTACTACAGGTACAGACTTCTGATTTATGTTCAAGTGTATATATATTTGCATGTGTGTCTAAAAATACCAGTCCAGAAAAATACATACCCAGATCCTGGTAGTGGTTATTTGCTGGGTAATAAAATGTTGATATTTTTGCCCCTATATGTTTACCTATGAATATTTTCCAACTTTTCTCTGAAGTGAGCATATACTGCTTCTGTAGTAGAAAAAAAAATCTAGTAGTTATTTTATCCTTGGAAACTTCTTAAGGAAGACAACTTGCTGCTTTGTACAAAACTAAGTAGAAAAACACAACAGTGCAGACAACAAAGAAAGTAGGGTCTAGACAAGGGTCCATCCCAAAATGGGGGATGTGGCAAAGACATGGCAAATGAAAAGATAAGTGAGGGTTGAGAGTCAACGGTTTCTCTTCTGTTCTGTGTGACTTCTCTAAAGCATTTGACACTCACTTCTCTAGAATGTCACTCCCAGTTGGTTTCTTCCCATCCCCTTGCCTGTCCCTTCAGTTTTGGCTTCCACTGCTCTACATGTTACCTCAGGCTAACCTCTGCTCTCGCTCTGTAACTGTGTGCTCCACTAATCTCTCTTCTGGCCCTCAGAACGAATGTCCAATGTCCACAAGTCCTGCAGACCCATTCAACTCCACATGTCGAAAACCGAATTCCTCACCCTCTCCCCACCAGCCTGCTTCTTTCCCAGGATTCCTTCTCTCTTTTCAATGACATCATCATGCACCCAAAATAGACATCTCGAGGTTATTTTTAACTCCTCCCTAATATTCTTCAAGCAATTTAGAACAAATTATGTCCAGGGCGCATGGGTGGCTCAGTTGGTTGAGCATCTGACTTCGGCTCAGTCAATGATCTCGCAGTTCATGAGGTCAAGCCCCACGTTGGGCTCTGTGCTGACAGCTCAGAGCCTGGAGCCTGCTTCGGATTCTTTGTCTCCCTCTCTCTCTGCTCCTCCCCCTCTCACACTCTGTCTCTCTCTCAAAAATAAACATTAAAAATTTTTTTTTAAAAAGAACAAATTATATCCACCATCTAAATACCGCTGGTATCTGTTATCTTCTCTTTTTTTCTCGCAGCCCTAACCCAATCCTCCATCATCCCTAACTGCATATGATACCTCTTCCTCCTTTCTAGTTCAAAACATATGTTCATTATTTCATCCTTGGGCAAGGCAATCTAGTACCCACCCCACCCCTGTTTAAAACAAAGTCCAAACTGCTTTCTGCTCTGTACAAGGCTCTTCAAAATCCAGTTCCAACTTATCTATCCAGCTTAACCATCCCCCCATCACCAACAACTACATCATGCCCCCCCAAATACACACACTCCAGACCCACCAAGTCTCCACCGAGTCCCCCAAGCACGAAATGCATGCCGTGTCCAGGTGTCCCTGCATCCCATTGCTACTGTCTGTAAACTCCCCTCTCTCTTCTCTGCTTAGAGTCTATTCTTTAGCATCTTTCTCAATACTCTTTCCTCTCTGATAATGAAGCCTCAGCCTCACTCCTGTGTGGTCATATTTTCCACCTTGCTTTCACATTACACACATTCCTCTCTTACACTTTTCATCCCCCTTCTTAAGCTGCTCGTATCCCCACAGGAGACTATGAATTGGGCCACTGCCCCGGTCCTCTGCAGAAGTTAGGAAGGCTAAGTACTCACTTCCCCAGTCTCTCTTGCAGCTAGGGATGGTGCTCACAGGACATAGCCCGGCTGATGAGGCATCAGCACAAAACTGCTAGGCAATCTCTGCATAATTGTTGTGTTTTCCTGAGAGTAGAAGAAAAAAAAAAAAAAAACAGCTAACACCTCCCTCTGCCTCTCACCTTGATATCCGGAGCTGCAGAAGCTATCTTGTCAACATGAGGGCAAAAGCAAGAGCACCACAGATATTACAGCCCCAATGTCACACAGCTCCTGAACAACACTGGCAGTCACCAATCTGCAGACTTATTAGCTGAGAAAAATCAACCACGGTTTTTCTAGCTATGTTTCACACTGTCTGTTGCCTGCCACCTTCCTAACTGATATTTTTATCAACCAATTAACGTAGCAATAACTACTGGAGACCTACCAGTCTCCTGACACTGTACTATTTTTATTTGTTTTGCTTTCTCTAATCTTTAGGTGTCATCCTTTCTATTTGCAGAATCGAACGTTGACGTGCTGAAAAATTAAGTAATCTCTCAAACATCACACATAGCTGTGAAGTTTCTGAGCCAGGATTCCAACCCAAAAGAGCTGCCTGATTTGAAAGATTGTCCTTTTCACCACTTTTGAAGATGGATGCAATGAATCTAGACCAAGAAAAGAGTTGCTGAAGACAACCTGGGTTTGTGAGCCCAGCAAATGAGAAAATCCGTATCAGCTAAATCCATTTACTAGTTTACTGTTGACTTAGTAGTGGGGGATAGAAAAAAAAAAAAGCCTTGCTAAAGGTGGTAATAGAGGAATTCTTTCTAGGCTGCCCTCACAAGAATTATCAATCCTGCCACTATTTGTCACAAGAGATTGGATTCTCCTGTTTAAAGCCAAAAATGGTTACTGCCCAGTGCTCCATTTTCTTCAAGATGCTTGCAAATTCATTCACAAAGGAGACCCGTGTTCAAAGGAAGAGTAAGGAAAAGGTTGTTTAAAGCATTTGTGAGCAAAGGCACCACATGAAAGAAAATGCCTCTGCTCAGAGAGTGAGGAGGCCATATTTGGGATCAGGAATGATTTTAAAAGGAGTAGGAAAACACCGCCATAGTGTGATTTAAGAATCGAGAAATGCGTGAGTTAATTTAGCCTAGAGATAGGAGACCAAAAAGACAAATACCCTCCCCATATTACTCTTAGTCTGATGCACACCATATTGTGGAAGAAAGGCAAGAGCGATGTACCAGATGGCATATATTTAAATCTCGGTTCCACCACTAACTGTGCCCTGCTCTCTGAAACACAATTAGCTTAATGGTCAAATGAGGGCGATACACTTACCTTCTAAGGTTTCGTGAGGATTATTAAATGAGATAACAGATAAGCAAAGCACTTAGGTCAAGGCCTGGCCCAGTAAGCGTCAGGGGAGTGGTGTGGCTGATGATAACAATAGCAATTAGAAAGCAATGACAACAGCAATTGCTCAGAAGCACCACAACTAGATGGTGATCATGTCAACACTGGGGACAAAACACGTGGTGTTTTTTTTTTTTTAATTTTTTTTCAACGTTTTTATTTATTTTGGGGACAGAGAGAGACAGAGCATGAACGGGGGAGGGGCAGAGAGAGAGGGAGACACAGAATCGGAAACAGGCTCCAGGCTCCGAGCCATCAGCCTAGAGCCCGACGCGGGGCTCGAACTCACGGACCGCGAGATCGTGACCTGGCTGAAGTCGGACGCTCAACCGACTGCGCCACCCAGGCGCCCCCAAAACACGTGGTTTAGACATGCAAGTGGTAATACTACGGGGCACAGGGACACACAATTAAGTCCAAGAACACTTTGGGTAAACAAGGCTGACTGCTTCCTGTGGAAGGGTTGATATCTTGAAGACCTCACATTATTCTAGAATAATCCTAAAAAAAAAAGATGCTGGGCATTTATGTTTTATCAGTCCAAAGTGGTGGCTCCTACCCCCACCACTTATCAATAGCATAAACAGCTTGCAATGGACTTGACCACCAAATATAAAATTCTGTGTTTCATGCTAAAATTTTTACAATGGGTTTGGGTTCACATTATTTTCACCTGGACTCATAAAGTGAAGTAATATTAACTTCTGTCACAAAATCTCACATATGCATATTTTCAAATCTCATAAAATGTGACGGTTCCCAGGCAGGCCAAATTCTGAAGTCTGGCATCTCAACTGAGTAGACATAGTTGTCTATCAAAAGCCATCCCAACACCCAACCCCACTCCTAGAGAACACACCTATATCTGGGAAGCTGATGCCCCATGAGGTCACATTTCTCAGCTACCTTGGACAAGCCATAGCCTGTGACAAGTTCTGTCCTACAGAATCTTAGTGACGTTGCCTCCTCCACACTCTTATCCTTTCCTCAGACTGGATGCAAAGGATAGTTTGGCCTCCAGGGATGGCAAACCATCAGAGGGAAGGAGTGTGGATCCCTGCCTCAGTGCATGAAGAGAAGCCACCACTGACTGATAGGAACATGAGTGAGAAATTAAGTTTTATCGTGTTTGAGACATTATACATCTTTAGGTCTTTTCTTTCTTTCTTTCTTTCTTTTTAACTATAGTTCAAGAGAACAATAGTTCTCTTAGGAGGAAAGCTACACAAAAGAGTTGAGTCCATAGGACCAGTTGGGACACTTAAGCAACCAATGAAATCTAGACACATGTAATTGCACACCTTTAGGAGAATGTTTAGAAATTGAACAACTGGCCTCCACTACAATGTCCAGCCAGTATACCTGACAGGTGTTACTAACAGAGGAAAAAAAAAAAACTCTGAATCCATCGGGTGTATGCTAAGTGTCATATCTGTTTATGTGAAAAGCCTAGGGTAGTTATGGCTTCCATAGGTTTAGAAAAGATCTCTGCTGCAGTTTCCATCTCCGTGCAAATGAAAACTCAGGACAGGTAGTCATTTGAAGAATCCTTCCCAGTAGCTGGCCATAGGAGCCCAGCTCCAAGATTCTCACCTCTTGGTATTCACACCTTGTGTTATCTCCTGCCACACTGAAGAGGGCTGAGCTGTGTAACCAGTAGGGTACTGCAAACATAACACAGTGTGACTTCCCAGGGTAAGTCATAAAGACACTGTGACTCTCACTTTCCTCTCTCTCCGAGCATTTGTTCTGGGAGAAACCTGCTGCCATGTCATAAGGATAACCAAGCAGCTTTAAGGAGAAATTCACATGGCCAGGAGCTCAGGCCTCCTATTAACAACCAGCACTAACTTGGCAGCCACATGACTAGGCCATATTAGAAGCTGGTCATCCAGGGGCACCTGGGTGGCTCAGTCGGTTAAGCATCCGACTTGGGCTCAGGTCATGATCTCACAGTTCGTGGGTTCAAGCCCCCACATTGGGCTCTGAGCTGACAGCTCAGGACCTGGAGCCTGCTTCAAATACTGTCTCCCCCTCTCTCTGCCCTGTCCCCGTTCGTGCTTTCTCTTTCTCTCTCTCAAAAATAAATTAAAAAAAAATTAAAACTTTTTTTTTAAAGCTGTTCATCCAGCCCCAGTCAAGCCTTCATACTGCTGCAGCCCTAGCTAACATCTGTGTGCTACAGCTCCTTGAAAGACCCTGATCTGCTAAGTTGTTTGAATTCCTGACCTACAAAAGCTGGGAAATAATAAATGCTTACCAATTTTAAGCCACTAATTTGGGGGGGGGGGGTTAGATTTTGTTATGTAGCAGTAGATAACCAATTCATTAGCTTGTTTTAGAAGAAGAGAGAGAGAAAGGAATGGGGAAGGAGAGCAGAGGGAAGGGGGAGGGTAGGAGGAGGGAGAAGAGAGAGCTAGATAGCTCTACCTAAGGCTGAAAAGCTTTGCCTACCTCTAGTTGTTTTTAATGTTCCCTGGAATGGGGTGGTTCAGTCGGTTAAGCATCCAACTTCAGCTCAGGTCATGATCTCACGGTTTGTGAGTTCGAGCCCCGCATCGGGCTCTGTGCTGACAGCTCAGAGCCTGGAGCCTGCTTCTGATTCTGTGTCTCCCTCCTCTCTCTGCCCCTGCCATGCTCATGCTCTGTCTCTCTCTCTCAATAATGAATAAACATTAAAAAAAAAATTAAGGTTTCCTGGAAAGAGGGAGGACTGTGCCAGAGGTCATGGAAGTAATATATTGGGTTTCCTTCAACCCAGTCATATGATGAAATCAGTTCTGTACGTGTAACACACTCTTTTGAACATGGCAGCAAAGACTTTATTCATGAACTGATTACTGGCTCATCTGAACAGAAAATTCAAAGGTTTCTTTCTGTGTGTGTGTGTGTGTGTGTGTGTGTGTGTGTGTGTGTGTGTGTGTATCCTGGTGGACTGGAAAAAAAACATGGCTAATTGAACATAGCAGATACTTCATTCAGGAAATCAGACACTATTTCTTAAGAGCCTCACATTTCACATAAAATGAAGACTTCAGGGCAATTTTATGCTCGTGCTGCTACACGGGACACTGAGTCTCTCCCATCCCATGATTGAGAACCCTCACACAAGGCTACTTCAGTTTTATCTTTCTTGACTGAGGGCACTTAAGAGGTGGGGGCGGGGATCTCAGTGCCTCCACATAGGGACTAGCTGGCTTGTTGGAAATGTCACAGTGTTTGATCACACTGGGATGATTACTGAGGACTAGAAAGCAAGGAACTTGTGGTGGCTCATTTCTCTCTTTACAGTTTGCAGGAACCATCCCTCGCCTTACGTTATACTAGCTGACACACTGGCGAGGCCTAATAGCAGAACCCCACATCAGAAAAGTGTATCAGGAAGACCCAGAACATAGCCGAACAAGACAGGGCCATACCTTAGCATATACTACCAAGGGCAGAGCCCAGCAATGTTTGATGACTGTTGAGTAAGAGCCACTGTTGTGACCAGCAGTCAGTGGCACAATTCCAGTCTGTGGGGAATCCTCCTTCGAAATGGCTGTGTTGTTGTTGTTGTTTCCAGCCTGATTTTTTCACAAAATAGAAATCTAGCAAATATTAAAAAATGACATGGTATTTTTTTAATAAGCTAGTAGATAATTTCCATGAACCTCTAGTAGATAATTTCCATGAACACCATATCACTTTTTAACAAAATCAATTTGTGTGTATACAGTCTTCTTTGCCTTTGAGGTTGCAGAAGGCATATAAACCAAATACTTAAGTGCATCCTGCAATGATTCCCAATCTGGAGTCCCAACCTGAAGATAATAGTGGGCTTCCTCATCATTGTAAAAAAAAAAAAAAAAAAAAAAAAAAATGCAACAGGAATTACACATTTGCCCAGGATGGATAAGGCTATCTGGGTCAAATTAAACAGAGGGAAGTACACTAGCCCCCGAGGTCCAAAGGAGGACCAGTGCCAGTGCCTGTTTTTCTAAACAAAATCTCATCGGAGTGCAAACTGTCTACAAATGCTTCCACTAGACAACACCAAAGCTGAGTAGCTGAGACAGAGGCTATATGGCTCAGAAAGCTGAAAATAGTTGCTCTCTGGCCTTTCGCACGAAGAGTTTGCCAACCCCTGAAATAAAGTATCACACTTCTCACTTTGGGCTCAGAATGTTTAGACTGATGTCGGACCCTTTCCTGGTTATGTCATGTACACTGGTCCCTAATTTCTTGGATTAATAACGTTAAAATAACAAATGTGGTAGATCGAATCTTTCAAGATTTTGGGTGGAGTCAAAAGAAATTCCCTTCTTACCAAGTTTTGCCTTACTCATGCTTACCGAAATTTTAAAAGATAGAATCTGGACTGTTCATCCACTTGTT